TCTGCCCGTGCCCGTGGCCGTGGCTGTGGCTGTGGCTGTGTTGCATAGGCTGGTAGGAGGATCGGGAGGGCACAGGATGTGGAGCGGGACCAGGACTCGGATGGAAGGTCATGTGGCAATCTGCGGGTGGGTGGTGCAAACTGAGACTCTGGAGGTGAGGCAGGTGCTGAAAAGATGGGGAGCCCAGGGAGGGGCACGGGGGCTGCAGTGGTAGCAGGCCAGGTCCAGAGCCCGCGGCCAGGCCGTGCGGGGAGCTGGACAGAAGGTTATCCGATGGGTGGGCCTGCTCAGGAGATGGCAGCTGGGTGTGCACCAGACTGGCAGGATGTGTCAGGGGCATGGACATGGAAGGTAGTGCAGAAAGGTCCAACTCGTCTCTGTGTTCCTGTTTCACCATGACTAAAAGACAAGAAGATCAAAGAATGCTTCAAACAAAAGAAAATATTAGGATTTGTGTCAAATCATCATCTGTCTTTCTAAAGTGGTAAACACACTACAACCCCCCCCCCATCCACCATCTGCTGACATGTAGATATGAGTTTAAAATATATTGTCAAGTTAGACCTGAAAAACAGAGGCAGTAATGTTGCAGATCTATGTGACAAACTCCTAAAATATTTCTAAAATCTGAGCCTCATTTACATAATGCATAAACAGGGACAGTCCTTTACAGCAACAGCTCGATGACCTATTTCCCAATCTGGTGCCTCGTGACAGTGATTTTATTTTTATGCTTGTCTGAATCAGAGGCTGAACATATGTTGTCACTCTGGGTGACATCATGTAAGATGTCGGATGAGGAAAAAAGACCAGAACAGATAAAAAGGTTTACTGGTTACTGTCTTTATTTAAAAAGTTATCTGGTCAATATTTTTGGTAGAAAAAGATAAATACGGTTTATTCTGTTAATATTATCATTAAGGGTAATTAATACAAATATGCAGTGTATTTTTAAACCGACTAAACTATGACTGTCATTAATACATTTAATTATCATTTTTAGGCTACAATACAAATAAATATTCAAACTATTATACGTTGAGTGTTGTACTTATATATAAGGAACGCTGCCTGATGACACAGTGCTGTAGCTGTTATTATTATTATTTTTGCTTCGTTGACTTAAAAGCTAACCCTTAAAAAACCAGCCTCCTCAGCCCAGTTCTGCCTCGACAGACAAAGACATTTCTACGGAGGTGAAACCGAGAGGTGTCAACGACGTAGCAGGGTTATTCTACGGGGAAAACAGGAACCGTCTGTGTTGTGTAGGCGTGCCTGCAAAAACTCTGGGTATGTGGAGGGACAACGCTGCCTATATGCTCGTTCTCTCTCACACACAAACCTAAACAATGTTGTGGTAAAACTCAAAATAGTCACATGGCATTATATTCCGCCGTCAGTATTTTCAGTATGACTGGCTCCGAAATGAAAGGGAAAAAAAAAAAAAAAAAAGTAACCATATCAAATATCGAGTCACTATTTTGATGTAAATTAATATCTTTACCATCGAAAGGATCTAAACTTTGAAAAGCTCTGAAATTTACTGTTAACGCTGCACGTCTGAGGGAAAAACATAGATGTCAGCTGGGGTGGAATTGGAGGAGGGTGGGGGAGGAGTGGGAGGAGTGGGGTAACAAAATAAACAGTTGGCAGGTGTTTGAGTTTGTGTTCGTGGAAAAGCCCACTGTAAACCACAGTGATACTTTAGAAGAGAAAAAAAAAGTGGGTTAGCAAAGTCACTGAGGAGAAGGTGTACGTACTAACTGTGACTGTGTAGTTATATCCATTATATGTTCACGTGTAAACGCTCGTGTAAATGTGTTTAAAATGTGGGAAAAAAAACAATACAAGGGACTTATTTAATTTAATTTTTAAAGATTTTAATTCTACAAACTCCAGTACAGTCTATATTTCTCTCTCTCTCTTTGTCTCCTTTTTCTTTATAACTTAATTTCACTAAGTTTTTATTTATAACTTAATTTCACTAAGAACACAATTTTAAAAATCTTACCTGACACATAGGTGAAGCGTTGTGATTGGCTCCTTTTTCTTTTGCCGTTGCAGACATAAAACTGTACCTGCACAGCTGAGCCTACGTTCTTACTGTGGTAGGGAGGAACCTCCACCACGATGCATGACTAGGAACATATTGCATGTGGTTAACAACATAAACCTCCCCAAATTATATTACATTATTTTAACACTTTTTTTTTCAAATAAAAGAAAACAGGGACTCACCCCTTGAGTTTTCTCTCGTATTATTTTTGCCTCAACTTCCCACTGTGGACGTCCATCTGGAGAAAAATCAAGAAAAAAAACAACAACCTTAATATTTGAGATAATGACATCGACATATTCACAAAAGCATAAAAACATAAATAAATAATTAGAAACACAAACATGGTTTTTGTTCATATCATCAACCCACCACCGACTGTGTTTATTATCATGGTTCATTTAGGATTTCTTTGATTTTCCTAAAACTGAGAGTTGCATTAGGAGCAACACTTCATTAAATCAAACCCAACCTGACGTTGTTCTGGTAAAGACACATCTAGATGATGTTGTTTTAACAGCTCCAGAAATCCTTACACTTATTAAATACTAATCATATTCCCAAATATCCTGCTGTTTGTCCTGTCTGGTTACAACTGCAGACAGAGCAGTGGAATAATTGCGTTCATTTAAAGTGTCTCTACACATTACCAGATTTTTGGCAAGAAAAGGTCTCTTTTTTCCAGTTTTCCTATGAGGGAACTAATTAGTTGGCCAGACATCTTAGGGGCAGCTGCTCGAATGGAAGCAGTTACAGTGAAAACACCGACAGGCCTGCCATTGTTTAAGGAATCTAACAGTTATCTCACTGTGGTGAAGAAATACAATCTGGACGACTATGCTATTGCTGACGTTGAAAATGTTGCTGTTGCTCGGCTGAAACATCATGTCCAAATGCTGCGAGGATACGCAGCTGCTAGGTTTCATCTTCTCAATCCGAAGGATTCCCTCAAACCCCACTGTCAGGTGTCAGCACTGACTCACATTTGGACTGTTCAGCTCTTTCCTAAAATCTGGACTCTACCGCAGCTTTTTGTAGCTAATGTAGCTGCTCTGATCTCACGCTAACGTTAGCTGCGGTCGCACTGATCCACTGCTACAATACGGGCACGTCATCACACTGAGAGTATTCCCCGTACAGAGAGTCCGCGTACAGAGCAGGCATGACGGTGTATTTTATTTTTTGTTTTCCGGTGATAGCGTAGCGCAGTACGACCTTGAACATCTCTGTAACTGACATCAGTGTATTACTGCGGTGCATATTGTTGACATTCAACAGGCAAGAGCAAGGGCCCCACATGCTCTGGCAGACAACAAGCACTGACAGGAACCTCATACCAAACCAAGACAATGAGCGGGATCACCCAGACACACTGCACACCCCAGTCAGCGGGGCAAAAAAGAATGTGAGCTTACTGCTCCAGATGGTTGAACAAAAATAAAGAAGGTAATTGCTGTTTATGTTACAACAGTGAGCTTTTTTACATCTCTCTAAAAGCCAGAAACATCTCACCGACACCTTCGTACACATACTGTTCAAATCTTTAGTTTATTTAGTCATAATGTGGTCCATTTAGTTACAGACACATTAAATCTAGTAGAGTAAATAAATGAACTTCATGAAAATTAATTATTTAATTATCTTGGTTTTAATTTAAAAAAAGAAAATCTAGATCTGCTTTGTCCCAAAATTTTAACTAACCTTAAATATACGATTCTTCTTCTGTGTTATTCAGGTAGTAATGAGTTAATAAAAGCATTGATCAGGTAACCAATTATGATTAATATTATTATATAAGTATGTTCGTTTGTTTAATTCTACTCTAGGGGTTTCTGAACTCAGTGGCTCTAGTTCCTCGTGAATCTGTTTTCTTTCAGTCACAGGAGTTTGTGGAAAAACAGCTGTCATTCCTTCTTTTTCCCTCTTTTCTTCCATTACTATTCTTACTCCAATCAGTGTCATTCTCTACTAAGCTGGCAGATTAGTAGTAATGAGGGGGGATCTTTTAAGCAAACATAATCAACATGTCCTTCCTCCATCTTCATCTTCATCTCCATCTCCATCCCACTGCTGTTGTAGCCCTCTGGTCTCAGCAGTCCTCGCTGCCCGACGTGTTCTCCCTGAGGATTTCCTGTCCTGACACTGTGCTGTTAGGACCGTGACCGTCAGTCATGTGGCTGCTCCAGCCACGCTTCACCTGCTACACCTCAAAGAGCAGCAGACATTCCTCCCTGCCCCGACTTTCTACCGTGTGCTAACTTGATTGTGCTGCCCTGCATTACAAAGGCAGGTCGGGCAGGCACAGACTGGATCTGTGAATGTTATTCATTTACCATCTCAATTGTAGAGACGGCTTGTTACACTTGTTTTGATTATGGCCTTGTGTACAGAAAGATAAGGGAATAAGGATAGATTTAAAAGACGAACCAAAGAACGGCACGGGAGTTCCACCGACTAATCTCTTCAGCATAAACATTTGTAAAGCAGATATCTAGGCAACTTTAAAAGTAAATAATACCAGATTTAGAAAATATTCCTTCTTCCTTCCTCCTATAATGTAAGCCTCCAGTTTCAAGGTGACATGTGGCACAATAAAGCAAACATCTACTTTAATTAACATACTTTTTTTTTTAAATATTTGTGGAATTTCTCCAAACAAAGCACAATTATTATTTGTTCCTACTGTTTCAGAAAACTAGCCTAAACAAAGCACAATTATTATTTGTTCCTACTAGAATCCATAATGCTGGTTTGGTTTTGTGTTATTCAGTGCTGTGTTTACAATTTACTGTGTAATGCAGTGATACGACAACAGTTTCATCATTTAAAGTTTATGGTCAGATGTTTTGGGAACTAAATAGGGAGATTCAAAGTCGCCTCGTCAGACATTTCTTACAGATTCAAACTCAGTCAGATTGGCATTTTATAAAAATGCCCCACGGCAATAGGGAGTTGTTGAGACGAAGATCATGACAAATGTAATTCAAGGCTAAGAAACACAGATATTATATCCACTTGTGTCAGTATTGATGGTTAAAACAACCTTGTACTTAAGTAAAAAACACTATAGTAAAAACTGTTTTTTACCAAACTTTTGATCCTTGTAACTTACTTTAACTGCACGAATCAAAAGCTAAGATAAAAATATTTTTTGTATTTTTCCTTTAACAGAAAAGCAGCAACTGCACTTGAGCTTTTACTACTACGACGTCTTTTCTGTCAGGACGACCTATCGATTTACACCTCTGACGTTGGAAAAAAAAGGGAAGGATGACGTTTTAACACATGTACTAGGCATGTTTCTTTTTTTTCGTTTTTTTTTTTTGTCTGCAGGATCAGGTATAGGTGCCTGTGGAGACACACACACAAACACACACTTACCGGGGCCTTTCTCCAGGAAGATGACTTTAGACTCAGGGAAGAAGTTGGAGCCTGTTATGACCATTTCTTCTCCCCCACTAACTCCAGAACTGGTCAGGCTGGATTTCTCAACCTGAGGCAGCTCCTGAGCTGAGCGCTGAGCTGCAACAGCAACAACAGGAGTTGTTACTTCGTGTTCGTTCACACTGCAGTTACACAGATGGACATCGAGGTCCTGCACCTGTTACCATAACTGAACCCTAAACAAACGCGAGTTTCCCTTTGGTTTATAAATCAACATCAGTGCAGATACAACAGGATCACACTTTAAATGTGACTTTTATATAATGAAAATCCCCACTTCTTCATAATGGTGAATGACCAAAAAAGGTTAATAACCACTGGGCTACATAGAGTGGAGAATTTAACTGTGACTGTGACTCCTGACACTACATCATGCTGTACTTCAGATATGATTCCTGTTGTTCACTCTACACTCACAAGGTCAGTGTAACATTGTCAAACCTAATATCTAACTGGAGGAGGCAAAATAGTTCAATGTAGCCTGTGACACTAGGTGTGTGTGTGTGTGTGTGTAGATATAAATATCTCTTATTTCACTATAAGGAGTTACAGTAGGTAAAACAAATAAACAGACAGGAACAGTTTTATGGTCGTGTGATGGATGCCACATGTTCTTTAGTTGGTCTTCACATCTGTCGTCTTCAGTAAAAGACTGTGACATGGAGAGGACTTTGAAGACTAAACCCTGTATCAGACCTCCTTGTCCAATGTGGTTGTAACGTGTGTGTGTGTGTGTGTGACAGAAAGAGAGAGAGGACTTGGAGGTTAATACTCACAGCACTCCACAGGGATGGAGGCAGCCTGCAGCGACAGCACTTTGCCGTTAGGTTGTGGGATGTGGACTCTGAATACTACGCGGACCCGCGTGTTCTTCCTTCCAATGTCTGTCTCTCCTTTTCTCAGCTCAATGTCTGAGTTCCGCAGTTTAAGAATGCCAGCACAGTCGATACTGCAAGCAACAGGGAAAATATTAGCCCCCCCCCTTACAGCCCCGCGGGGACAGTAATAATAGAAGCTTTATTTAATAGAGAAGGCCAGGGAGTGATAAAACCAAGCACAGGTCCAGCAGGGGATTAACGTTAAATAAATAAGGCATTAATTCAGACATTACAAATGTCTGCTAATATGATTCACTCACTGCACATAAAAACCCTGCGCTGCTTCATTTGACGCGCAGTGTTGGTTAAAACTAAGGAAAAAATAGATATAAAACATCCGTGAGTAAGATGTAAAAATCTTGTGTGATCATAAATGTGGAATTTGGTTTTTATTGCAGGAGGCTACCTTCATGGTGGTACATGGTCATAACTGAGCAATGTTGCCCCAAAGTCCTTCTGACACCCACCTGGCGGACATGTTGTTTTCAGGCAGGAGAGGAATTTCCAAAACTTTGGTGCTCGACACTATAATTTCTTGACTGGCAGTGGCCACGGTTTTCCCAGTGATTCGGTGCACCTGGTAGAAAGCATGCGGCCTCAAGTATCGGTCATCTGCCGTACCGATGAACATCTGCAGATTGACAGGCTTCTCACTGTAGCCAAGGAGCTGTACAATGGCAGACAGAGACAGTAACAGAATTAAAAAAAGAGTAAAAACAGATGTGGGATCAGATGTGAGGTGTGAACAATGGAATAGTCTTCATTTGTTTTCACAGAGCTGGCGTTATTTTTTTTTTTTTTTTGTTTATGAAAATGTTAATGTTCACTCTTCTATTGCTGAGGTACTGAGGTACATCTGGTGCATTTTTCTACCAAAACGTCTGTAAATGTTCCTTCTTGGATGGAAAATACAGGACGGCATTTCTTCCAAATACTCAAACAAATCCTTCAGCAGATTCAGTCACCTTTCTGCAGAAAAAAAAATGTTGCAGCTGTGTTTGCTATCATAAAGATACAGCTGTCATGTCTGTTAATGACATGGTTTAAAAGCCCAGTGAGGATGAAGACTCACAACATTTGTTTATGGTTTATGGAACAGGAAATGCTGCTGAATCAATTCAATAATTACAAAATACGTAAGGCATCAAATAACCAGACAAATGTGTTGTTTCTCCCCTAAAAATCCTACATAAGGCATCATTCACTGATGCTCCCTGTGAGGTCTAATCTTATAAAAAAGTAAAAAAAAAAAAATCCAAATTAAAATGTCAGTAGTCTCCCTAGGTTATTGTGGTCCATGTGGCATAACTGCTCCAGAATTTGGCACCAAACAACGATCTTCATTAGCCCCAGAGTGCAGGCAAAATTTGGTTTCAAACTCACATGAGTAGGCAATCAACACAGGAAAACTTTTGCATTTTTTGGTAGTGGTAAGACGAAGATGGAAAGAAGAGCAGGACTACTCCACCTCACAGGAACAGAACAAGCACACAGGGCACACAATACCACCACTGTTGTAATGTTGTATTTGGCAGACTGCGTGACAGCGTGATGGCAGCCCCTGCACATACACAATCCTACCGTACTGCCCTCATAAATACACACCTACAGTTGGGGAGGAGGGCAGCTTATTGAGGGTAACAGGAAAGAACAAGGTCTTTCATTGCTGCCTCACCCCTGGACCTGCCAAGCTTCATCCCCACCACAGCTGTGGCCGTGGACCTCTTCCTCCCCACAGGGCTGTGTCACACACTGCTGTGTCAATGTTTGGTACAAATCTGTGGCGGGTGGAAGACTGGCTGAACATGTCACAAGCTCTTCCAAATACATTTGAAATTAAAAGAGTGTGATTTGTCAAATTCATAAATGGAAGGATTGAAACAAAATTTAAAAAAAATAAGTAATTTTTAAAATTCTGGCGGACAATATTTAACTTTGATGTCCACGTTAAATCCAATTTTTCTGAACAACGCGTAGAACAAATAAATCCAATTTTTCTGAACAACGCGTATCACCATGTTGTCCAAAAGTCATATCTTGTTGTGCTGAACATAGAAGAGCGGAGCAGAGTGAAGACAAAGAAAGGTGTAACGTGATAGTTGTGAATCAATCAATCATTTTTTTATCTTTAACATGACATTTTAGACACGTCTTTTTTTTTTCCTTTCCTCTATACATCTGCTGTGAAAGAAGTCGTGCTTAAACACGTTGTGTTTACAGCAGGCTCTGTGAGGGAACAGGTCTCCAGGGACAGAGTGAAGCCAGGCAGTGAAATGGAGCTTAAATCTTAATAGTCCTTTACTCGTCTTGGCTGAATAAAAACATTGTCTTTCTGACGAGGTGTGCTATTGACCTCAGTTAGACGCTAATGTTTCTCAAGAGAGTTTTAATTCTTAAATGCTTAGGAAAAACTTTTTATGGTCACAGTAAAAATAAAACAAATGAGACCCAAGATGTACAATTACCTTAATGAAAGTCAAATAACAAACCTAACAGTTATAGGTATTATTAGTCAACATTTTACGTGACTCTACCAGAGCATCTGAGTAAGCTGTGGGAAAACATAACTCACAGTAGAAAAAAAAATGGGGGGAGGGGGGGTTCTGTACGAGATGTAGATCTGACCTTTTAGCTGCCCACATAATTACTGGTATATCTTAGGGGCAAATTAAATAAATCAAACACCTTCAGTTCCATAATTCTAAGATGACATTATGACACCTTAGTGGTGGAGATTTGGTCAAATTAATTTCCACTCTGTGTCGCTGTTGTGAGTGTGTGGGCTGAAGGTCTATAACATTTCCATTCTGTGTCGCTGTTCTTTTTTCTTCTTTGTTTGTATTTTCTCAGGCTGATAAATGCTATACCTGCTATGACAAAACTGACATTCACTAAGATGTGAGTGTGTGGGCTGAAGGTCTATAAATTAGGGTCTTGTTTATTTGTAGCACCATGTGTGTTCCAGACAGCATGGAAAGAGTTAACAGTGTCTGGACAGAAGCATCTGTGAGATGCATTCTAATAAATGTAGGTATAAAAGAAAAAGAAAAAGAAAGATGAAAAAGGTTGGAATATTAGAGGAAAAGAATGGACACAACTATGTTAAAAAAGATGAAAAAGGAAGGAAAAGAATGGACACAACTATGTTAATGTTTAATGTTGTTCAAGGCTTCATTTTCTGCTCTGTCAGTTCAACCTTAAATGAACCGCCAACATAAAACTCAAACGGACACTTGTACTCTTGATCTCAGCGCCTGTGTGTGTGTGTGTGTGTGTGTGTGTGTCCTGCATTTCCTCCAGTTCTCAGCACATGAGTGATCTGGTGTTGATCAGGAGTGTTGACAAACTTACACTCAGCATGCCAGCGGACCATTCCAAATCAAATAATCAACTAGGAAAACCTGATTAGAGAGTCTGAAAGAAACAGATTACTTTGGGAGACTGGGTGAATAAACATTCCTGGCCAAAGGGATACACAGCACACAGATAGGCTGCTGTGCAGGAAATGGTCGAGACTAGTCTTTAAAATATATAAAATATTGAATCCTATTTAATTTTTTATATAGATTTAAATGATTATAATTTAAGGAGGAGTGATTAAAAAACATTTGACGTAGCGTCCTTACAGGGCAGGACGTAAACAAGGACACATGGACACTCATTGGCAGTGAAATGCAGACAACACACACCCTTGACTTGCTTCACATTCCTAAAGCCACCCCTCCACCGTCCATGTTCTGGTGTGAAATACCACAGGAGGGTGGTCTCTGCACTTTCAACTCCTCACCTTTCTGCCTGTCCAGACTGCTCTGAAGCCAGCTGGTCGGTCAGCGAGAAACTGAGATCTGTTAGAAATCAGCTACTGCGTTAAATCACAAAGATATGAAACCTGTCACATGTGCTGCGGTCTGCTCTCACTGGAGATCTGTGGTCACCTTACGCCTGCTGCTACTTGTCTCCCTGTGGATAAAGTTTAGGACGGACTCTCCCAGCTAAAATAAAACCCGTGGGTACGGTTACATACCGAGTAACCACTAAATAAAGTCCCCACTTATTTTTGGCTTTCATCTGTTCCACTGATCCATTACAGTAATAAGGGCAGTAAGCTGGAAGAAAAGTAAATCTCACTGCAGACCTACAGACACAAAGCGCTTTACTATTGTCTAAAACATGAGTCCTAGTCCGAGCGGATCCAATTGTCACGTCACACTGAGGTATTAACATCGGCTGGGCCAACAGGGAGAACAGCAAGCGCCTCCAGCGGCAAAACACCGGCTCTCCTGACACTGTGTGTTCCAAAGAGTCCCTGCAAGTGGCTCTTATTTCTGCTGTCTTTCCACCTCTTTTATATACAGGATGTTTTCTCTGAGTCCCTTTAACTCATCTTCCCTCTTTCTCCACTCTCTCCCCTATGCTCTCCTCTCCTTTCTCCATCTTCAGCTTCAGCCCGCTGCTGTAACTCGACACTTTCTCATAGCCAAAGACTGACGCTGCCAAGTTGTTTCCCAGTGTTGCTCCACTGTTGCCATAGTGAGACTGTGTGTTGTGAGTGTGCATTACTCTGTGTATACGTGTGTGTGTGTGTGTGTGTAAGAAAGTGATTGGCGATGTGCGCTCGTGTCAGAGTAAGCTGCATCCCCTGTCGTCTTTGTCGGGAGACTGTGCTACTTAAACTGTATATGCTACTGCGGCGCTCGGAAAAGTTTTGTTGATGGGTGAAAGAATAATAGTGTGTCAGTAAGTGGAGAGAAGGGAAGCAACAGATGTAAGAACAGGAACAGCGCTGGTCACTCGTCAAGGTCAAGAGTGAATTATTATTATATTCTAACGCGTCACAATTATGGACACAAACACCCGATACAGTAGGTCTGATGTTTGCCCACCGAGCCAGTACGGCCAAGAGGAAGCCAGGGGGGCATTTGAATGTTTGTTTGTTTATACAAGGTCGATACACACACATGTACAAACACACTGTACACACAGGAGTGTTGTACTGCGTGAAGACTGGACTGGCCTCCACTCAATTCCTCATATTTCCCTCTAACTCAGCCCCACAGAGCGTCTCTTTCTACCCTCCTTAGGACCTCAGTGATATTTTCTCACTGCACTAATCCTGACGACAACAAATTAGAGCGTCTAAGCTTACAACCTGTTTGCATCTAATACAGCCCTTGGGCAAAGCAACATGAGCTCAAGCCGGTTCACAAAGTGCAGGCAGCATGGCAGCATTGTCATCTGTGTGTCTGTGCATCATGGCTGGTAGTTTACTGGGAGATCCTGCAGAGAGAGAGAGAGAGACAGAGAGAGAGAGAGAGAGAGAGGACGAAGGAGAGTGTGTGGCACAAAACACTAAGGCAAGAAGGCCAAAAACTGGATTTAAGGAGATCTGTGACGGAGATGAGGAGAGTAATGAGGTCACGGTCGTCCATTAGCATTGGAATCAAAACCATTTAATTCATCCATGTTGGTAGAACTACTTGGGCAGCTTCTGTTCTATTCTCTTTCAAATCATTAGACATCAGAGTGAATGTACTGTAGAAACTAATGAGAATATATTTTTTACCCTGTGAAAAATAACGTGCACTAAAACTTAACAATACTCCAAGACAGGTTAAAGATTTGTTTATGGTTTGCATAAACAGGTGTGATTGTTGTTTTGTTTTTTTTAGTGTCTCATATTTTGCTTCTGTTTTGTCTAAATCCATCCTGTGATATCCCAGAAGGTAATACCAGAGTGGCTGCTTAGAGTTGTGTGGGTGCAGCAGCACTCAATTAAGTTGGTTAAATACGCGCAAGGATACCTCCGCCAGCCAGAGAGGCTTTGGACTTAAATATCTCCTAGCAACAGGTGTACCAATTACGGTCGGCAGTTAGCCCCAGAGGAATGGCTAAAACATCCAGTCAGCCAGGCAAAAACAAAGACGTCCTGACCTGCAACGTAGGTCTAGGAAAATGAGTCAGGCTGCACAGACCAAACAAGATCAAGCTGATTTCCTGGATAATTTTTGAAAATATTGTCAAAATTCATCAGATACATTCTGAAAAAGCGATCCATAATGTTATGGACAATCGTGAGGGATAAAAACAGTGCATGCTAACAACGTCATTACTCCAGTTTGGTGAATAGCACAGAGTACATCATTGCATGCATGGCTTCAGGTCACGACTGTCAAAACAACTGAGTGTACGTACGGTCTACAGACTCCCAGGCTTCATGACACTGCATCTGTGTGTTAATGCACACACAGGTGTCTACCAGCTGGTGTCAAACTACACACATACTGAAGCCTAGTTTTATTACAGGCTCAATCTATACAGTATATTTGCACCACTTCACATCAAGTGTCCTGTAATACAGTATCAAAAAGCATCGACATTTCTTGTAAAAACAGCTCATAGTACAATGTGTTGTCGCTTCCACAGTTGATTTAGTGTAACTGACTGAGTACACACCACCTGATGACATCAGCAAGTGCAAGTATGACAAAAAGATGGTGAATCCTAATCCAAATAATAATTTACGACACCTCCATCGGGTGCACAGGCCTGGAGACACGTGTCATGTTTTAATGCCCGGAGCTGCTTCATATTTTCTGTGTCTACAGCTCTTTACCGCTCCTACATCCTGTGTCTGGGGCCCTAAACCACAAGTTAGAAATCAGCAGCCCAAATCTGCTCCTCAGCTACGCTAATAAACTTCACACAGACATCCTGAAAAAATTAACACTCAGAGGAAATGACTATACAACATCCTAAAATCCTTTGGATTAGGGGCGTAGCTTTTTTCCCCCTTTTATGTATAGAACATTTGCATGTGTATGAAAAGCACTGTACTGGAAGTATCTGTTCTTGTCCATGACAGCTAAATGTTATGGCAACTGAAAATCTCATCAATCCACAACAATATATGGATTATTAATGATTTTTAATGACGAATAATAAGTGTGTGTGCTGAAAAAGTACTGAAAAACAAAACCTGAACGGTTTCCACCAAAATGATCATCTGAGTGAACTGGTGATACGTGATAAATGAACACAGAACAATGGCATGTAGTGGTAACTGTGCTGTATCTTAGTCTCAGTCCGTTCAATGTATTATCTCTTTTATCTCTTATCTCTTTTATTATTTTTAAAATCTATATCTTTGACTGAAAGGAAACAAGGCTTTGTAGTCCTCCCTGCCTCCAACACAAATTAAAACCACCTACCATTTAAACAACAAAGGCTGGAAGACATTTTGTCTAAAAAGCTCTATAATAGTATTTGCTCATCTAATTGTAGTTTTGAAACTAAATACTTAGAGAGAACCCACTGTACACACACCAACATCATGGTGCCACTCCCTCACTTTAGAAACGACAGCCAGAGAGAAGCTGAGTAAATTTACCTTCAACTAAAGAAAATTAGTCAAATTTGTTGAAAGCCTCTGAGTTTAGTCAGGTTTATAGCTATAAAATACCAAATTCTTCTTCACTTTGGTGATGGGTTAAAAGCAGAGGTCACATTTGGTTGTGTGCAGTGGTGCAGTGGTGCAGTGGTGCTGTGTCACAATGACAAGTAGTTCACCTTCCACTTTCCTAAGGCTTATTAGATCTGAATCTTTGTTGTTATGCTAGTTTTACGCCTTAAATAAATCTATTTAACGTTGGCAGTACTGTATCTAGAATGTGTTTAAAATGTTGAATCTTGAATCACGTTCAAATTCAGAGAAAGAAGAATCATACAGACTGGTACCGTCGTCCTTTAGCTCACCTGGCTCGCACCTGGGAAACATAATACAAACAGGCTCCTTAAAGGTGTCAGATTTTACTGACCCTAACCTTACTAACCATCGTGGACTGGGGCAAAACATTGTTAAAAGTTGTTTCTTATAAAGATAACTGATGGGAAAGATCACTTTTTCAACACATAGAAGAGAAGACATAATCGAGGTCCTGGGTCAACTTTGTGCTGAGCTTTTATATACAACAATGACATCCCAGAATAAAGAATTGACCTTCCAATCTGGCACCTTTTCTACAGTTCATCAAAGAAACGTTTGAAAGCACAATAATAGAGGTGGTTATTTTGTAAATAAAGGCTGCGTTAGACCTGCTGGACGAGAGCTGATTATATCTAATCCTCCTCCTTTTGTCAAAGTCTAATCTTTACTATCAGTGTGTTTATAGTGAGAACCAAAGAGAAATGAGTTAAATACGTGTCCATCCAATAACAACACTACAACTGTGTCTCTTTGCCCCAACACCGTCAGTCTGACTGTCTATGCAACAGACATACAGCAGTACAGGTCGACTCTTTCTAACCAACCACATCATACAAAGAAGACAATGTATTTCTGTTCAGATTGTTAGACTGTTTACCAAACAAAGCTTGTAGCTTTGAATAGAAAACACGATTTAACAGTAATTACACTTTTTTGACCCGACGTCCCGGTTACACAAGAGGTTCTGTGACAAAACCAGTGCCTCTAGGGGGTGAGAAATAGGGGCAAGCATGGTAAGTGTTTTGCTGAAAAACTTTAGCGCTAAATTATTCATTGTCACATATGGCAGGACAGAAACTTGTTCTCACTGAGGTTGAAGTGGTTAATGATTGGCCTGGAGGGAGCCTGCGTGCATGAGGATGAGGATATAGGATTGTTCTTATGCTGAGAGGCAGCACATTTGTCGTGGCAGTTGTCGAAGTTGTTTTAGAATTGTGTTAAAACAAAATACTGCAGAAGATTAGCCAAGGTTTCATACACCTTCATTTGACAAATTGATAAAAAAAAATGGTTCAATTATTTCATTTCTGCCAGAAAAGTTTTTTTTTCAATTATTTCATTTCTGCCAGAAAAGAAACATGATTGCAAGACATTTTGATGGTCTGACTGGACAGCTTCCAGGACCGAAGGTCTAAAATTATCCAGTGTAAAGTTCAATAACAATGGCAGAGTCCTGGCTCTGTGGTCCGGCCTAATCATACACACAAAAGAAGCATGTCACTGAGCTTCTTAAATATTAATAGGACTGAAATCCTCCACTATTTCTCTCTCTCTATCTCTATCTTGCTCCCACTCTGGGAGACAGAGCAGCGGCCTTGGCTCTACATCAGCTCACCTACTCTCTTTGTGGATGCTATCAAATGACAGAGCAGCTGACTTGGCTGTACAGACAGCTCCGTTCTCTGATGACTTTCCTGTCTCTGTTCTTTAACAGGTTGATTTAAAACCTTAATATAAGAAGATAATATATTATAATAATAATATAATGACTAAACTATCAGCTAATGATGCATTAAGGCTCTATAATTGCACACTTACAGGCTAATAATGAGGATTAGTCTAAGCACACACACAAGACTTCGTCTTAACCTTTAATACCATCGGAGTTTTGAGTGTGTATTTCATGCTGCACAGTTAAGGTGTTAAACAAAAAGATCAGGAATAGGAAGAACTGCCTTGTCAGTTTGGACAGGGTGGTGTTTATGTCTAAATACGCAAACAGAATTTCGTATTCACAGAACAGAATTAATTGGCATTTTAACAGTTTCAACATCCTTTTTAACAAAGCAGAAATACGTTACCTTGACGACCGGATGGCCACCGGATGCTGCTTTGACTGCACCTCGGCTGCCCTCCGTTTCATAATGCGCTCGGTGGTGGGCTTTGGGCTGTACCTCTATCTTTAGCTCAAACTGGCCAAAATGGCTTGGTAATGGCCAATCCAGTGGAGGCAAAGAGGAAGTCCTGCGGAGACAAAAGTACAAGAAATAACCACACGGACCCAGTACACTTCAGCCAAATGCAATAAAAAACAAACATTTGAAGTCTGGCAAATCTATATTAAAAGAGCAGAAATGTAAGGTAATGTTTTTTAATACAACTATATATATATATATATTTTACAAATTAAGAAATGCCCTATGATTAATCTAATAAAACATTCTTTTGTCCTTATTTCAGTGAAGTTCTGCACATTTTCAGGTATAATTTTTTTTTTTTAATAATTCCAATAAAGTTTCTTCACATGTAAACCAGTGTAAACCAACTGTAATCTATCAGAGTTCTGTGCCCGTCTCTCTTACAGCCGTAATCTATCAGAGTTCTGTGTGCCGTCTGAAAACCATTCAAATGACAAAAACCTGTGGTATTCCCCTTTGATGTCCTGAGTGGGTAAAAACAGTTTTACTGAACCCCCACCCAGACAATGAATCAGTGGAACGTCTCTACACATTAGAGCCGTCCTTTAACGCAGCAGTAACAGTAATAGGTCACCATCAGATTAAAGAGTGATTCATTCTAAAGTGGAACTTTTCTTTGTGACTGTGCTGTGTATATCAGTGAACGTGTGGTAAATGACACACTGTGTTACACACTGTGTTAAACACTGTGTTACACACTGTGTTAAACACTGTGTTACACACTGTGTTAAACACTGTGTTACACACTGTGTTAAACACTGTGTTACACACTGTGTTAAACACTGTGTTACACACTGTGTTAAACACTGTGTTACACACTGTGTTAAACACTGTGTTACACACTGTGTTAAACACTGTGTTACACACTGTGTTAAACACTGTGTTACACACTGTGTTAAACACTGTGTTACACACTGTGTTAAACACTGTGTTACACACTGTGTTAAACACTGTGTTACACACTGTGTTAAACACTGTGTTACACACTAAGTAAACGACTTTCAGTGTGTGAGTGTACACGAATGCTGTACGTTAAGTTGTATCTGTCTAGGCAACAATTGTATTTCAACAGCTGCAATCAGAAAAAAAAAATCAATTGTAAATTTTTACTCCATAATTGCTTAACTGGAATAATTATATAATCATAAGAGACTGGAACTGGGGTTGGAAACACACTGGATAACCTCTACCTGCACCTCGTTGTTTTTCCCAATCCATTATTCATGGTCCATGGGGACTACTGTAGGGCGGTAAAGCTATATGTGTGGTTGTGTGGTATTTGTCTGGCTGCAGTTTCAAAGTGTCATTGCAGGTTAGGTCTGATCTAGAGGCCCGGCTCTGTTCTGTCTCACCAACACGGTAGTGGTTACACACTGATGGACAGTATTTCTTGGCGCTGAACACTGTATGTTCTTTGTAAATCCTGTTGCTTGTTGGCATGAGTTTTAAAAAAATGTCATTTTAGAATTATATTGCCATGAGGAAAATACACTTAGTCCAAACTATACAATCTGTTTTGACAGTGACATTATGTAAGTTTTTTTTCTGCACACCTCAATTTCCAAATTTCCTTCCTCCAAAATGCCAATCAACATCTGGCTTTGAAAATCTATGTGAACTAAGTTAAATAAAGAGGAGCTCGGTCGTTAGTCCAGACGTTAATGTTGTTTTACAGGATGACATTAAATTTAAAGAAAGGTTTGGCTTTTTAAAAAAGGCACACTTTAACATTTTTTTCCCGCAGTTATGGCGTCTCTTCCTTAAACTACTCTTGTGGTTGTAAATTTAACATAGCAACATGACAATACTACTTCTGTTTTTATGTGAACTCTAACTGGCCTTGGGGCTCAAGGAGATATTGTTTGATTTACGGCACACAAAATCTAAACCAATATCATAAATGAATTAAATTTGTATATTTTTACATCTACATTCAACGTGTAGCATGATACATGAACACTTTGAGTTGTTGTCAAATTTAGAAGTTGACAATAAAAAAGTAATTTCCACTGGTTCCCACTGACTGCGAGCCATATGTTACACATCATGTTTCCTCCCAGCATCCACGACATAACCACCCAGGAAGTTGGGCTTTGCATGGCTGCTATGGTAACAGAAATAAAAGCCAACAGTTGAAATATGAGCTTTGTGACAGAGGTGAGCAGGAGTGGCATAATGACATGGCATAACCTTTCTCAAATGTCCAATCACTGGTGTGTAGGTGTTCCAAGTTCAGCAACTTTCCCACAGCTCAGAGTTCTTCACTCCTACAGAGTGGCGACCTCAACAACAGTATAGATGTTGTAATTAAGATATAAAAAAACTGTCTGGAATTGGTGTCGATTAGTTCAATTAAACATGAACTTATTAAAGGTAAAACCTTTTTTTTTTTTTGTTTGTGCAGCATCTGTCATGTCTGTATACAAGTCCCTATATTTGTTTGTGTGTGTGTGTGTGTGTGTGTGTATAGTGTGCTTGCACTGAACCCTGACCATGTGTGCCCTGCAGCTGGAATACAGAGATAGGGGCCAGTGCACACAAACAAAGTGATACCAACACCTGGGGCACACGTTGGAGAGCAGACTGACTGCTCTACTGAAAACCCAGTAGAACATTCATCTTTTGTAATTTGGGGAACCTGCCTGAATGTTGAAGTTCTAATCCATTCAACATCTCTGTGACTCCCAAAACACAAACAAACATAACCCCAACATAGTAACCAAGCTAGATTTATACCACTGATACAAGGCTCAAAGTTCTTATGACTGGACGTTGATCCACAGGGTGTCGTCACCAGGAGTATTATTCATCTAACATATTTGACCTTAATTTACTACACAGTGATGTTTACACATGTTTAATCTTTACGATCACTAAGATCAATCAGAAGAAACTCTTATCACCTCGTTCAGCCTTGACCCACTAAACCCATCACTGTCCCATTACATTAATAATTTACAAAAATGGTAGATTTTAAAAATGCAAGGTTGGACTTAACATATCAACTGTTTTTACCTGAATATAGGTGTATGACCTGGCTTTGGTTTATTCCATGAAAAGTGGGTGGGGACTGAGAGGAACTGTTCCCCAGGCACATCTTTCTTCAGGCCGTGCAGGGCCTCATCTGAGGGAGAGTCTAGATTAGGAGACATATTTCCTTGGTCATCCAGCCCCAGCTCCCCTTTACCAGGCTGCATAGCTGTTCTGTCCTGAGAGGTTTTCCTTGTCTTAGATGGGATGTCTGCCTCAGAAGGACAACACTGGAAGGGCGAAATCCCCAAGGAAGGACTGCCAACCCAAGTGTCCTCTGTGACACTACCTCTAGGAGAAGGTCCTGGTGTCGCCGTGGGTGAGTGATGTGGAGACAATGAGCCGGGATAGCAAATGTCAGCGCTGGAGTGACGCCTCTTCCCACAGGGTGAGGTCGGACGTGAAGAGGGCCTGGAAGGTGGACGTGGGCTTAGCCAATTTTCATCAGTTACACTAGTACGCGGTGAGTGGCAGGGCGACTGTCGAGGCGACAGACTGACCGAGTGTACGTGGTGTCCAAACGGTAGATGGTGGTGCTGCCAGTGGGGCTGTTCTTCCAGAACTCCACAACTGGTCTGAGGCGACGTACAGCCTGGGGACGTGAGGGGGGAGCCCAGAGTAAACCTGGCTGCTGCTTCATTGAGCTCTGAGTCAACGTCGTCGTAGACATGCGAGAATGATTCACAGGAGGAGGCGTCAGAGAACCAGCTCCTGGAGGAGATACTGCTGCACGGGCTGGGGCTGAGTGATGAGTCCCGATATGAGTGGTCCAGCCGCAAATACAGGTGGTCTCTGGACAGGGGCCGGTCACCATGGTAGTCCCCATCGGAGCCGTTAGCCCTCAGATCCTCCTCATTGGGATCCATCTCCTGCTGGCAGCTGGGGGAAATGGATGTAATTTGGATGCTGGGACACTCAAAGGCCTTTGGTGCCTCAACAGGTGCAGAGGGCAGCAGAGGCGAGGAGCCATACTTAGAGTCTTGTGCCTCATAACCTGGAGCCTCAGATCCAGGTTTGTGTGACTGAAGGCAGGGGGAAGCATTAATGATGTGGGAGTGAGACTGGCTGCCAGGACGAGACAGGCCGATAGACTGGTGGTTAGTAACTATGGCCTGTGGCTGGCCCACATTTAGAATGTAGAACGACGTGTTGTCATCAGGCTCCAGATCTGCAAGAACACACAAGAAAAACTAATATTAACAGAGGAGATACAGTTATTTTACTACTATAACTGTAACACAGTCAGAAAGCAAAACAGTGTGTGACCAATGTCACGCTCTTTTTATTGCTCTCCTG